CTAAATAGGATAAATCTGGTGAAATTATGGTTGAAGGGTTGCATTGGCTGAGTTATTGAAAAATTGTATTTAAAATATATTTTGTTAATTAAGTTAAGACAAAAATACATGAAAAATAGTTATAATAATGTTCTACAGTAAATTCAGCCAATTTAGCTAGAAAATTACTCTAACCTGATTTACTTTGATTATTTCTCAATTCAGCAAGCAAAGTCAAAATTAAACTACGCAATTGATTAACACATTTGACGATAAGATGAAAACAAAGGTTGTTAAATGGGCTCAAAGATTAGGGCGATGCTAGGCATTTAGAACTGTACGTGGAAATTAATGTCTGAATTAAAGTCTATTGTCTGAACTCAAGACTATTGTCTAGAAACATAATTTTGAACTTTTAGTTGGATGAGGTAAATTTGTTTGGCAAAAAGAGATAAAAATTAACCAGATAATATGGCATCAAACTAGAAATTTTCAAAAGCAAGGAATCCGCCCTAGAACTCCATATTTGATTAGAATAAATGTTCCGAAGCACTTTGCACATTCTAATTTCCTGATATAATACTAATAACAGTAATAAAGATGTTTTTTGTTTGGACTAATTTTTTTTAGCTTAAACATATATGGTGTGATATTGTGAGTAATAAAAAACTATTATAAATTAACTTAAGGTACATGTATTCCAAATGTAAAACAAGTATTGCAGTTTTAAAATCTTATTTTTAATATTTTTTAATTTTAAATGTATTAATATATAACTTTATCTTGAAAGTCAAAATGGTGTAAACTTAATTAAGCAAGTACACGTACAATACATTTAACAAAAAGAACTTTTAAGAACCCAAAATTTGAAGAACATTAAGAAGTTAAAAAAATACTCCATATATGTATAACTTTCCATCTGTACATTAGAGAATTTAAAATATGTTTGAGATGGTTAGAATGTGATGAGAAACAATTTTAGTAAAAGAAAATTAAAAAGGATAAAATTGTCTTACATGGGTTAGGTTTAGTAATTCTTGGAGCACATAAAACAATTCCTTATTAGTCGATACATACGGCCTGTTTGGTAAAATGCAAAAGGGGATTACAAATTAAAATCACACAATTAACCTCAAGAACTAATTCCTCAAATACGTTTTAATTAAGAAAACAATTTTTAAAAACATTTCAAAATAATGAGTATGAATTTTATTCATGTATGAATTTATGCAATAAGGTCATTTAACTCTATAGGTCAATGTCTCAAAATAATAAAAGTAAGATATGTTTGATAGCTTCAAGCCAACTTTTCAATGAGATTGTTGAGTTAGAATAGAACTGTCTAGCCTATTGTACTCATTTTCCCATTTTCTTGCTACACACATACAACTTTAATAATATCACTACATTTGAAAACTCAAATTTCTATAAGTTATCATATGGATCGTACTATAAGTTCGATATCACTTATTTTAGTTAATTAGATCATATTACCCTCAATAATTCATTCTAAAAAAAATAAACCAGTCGCTAACAATCACAATATGCAGCCTGTTGTTGCCATCATTGTCTTCATTAAAATAGGAATGTCACGAAACTTTATATTATAGACTCTTTTCATTAAGAAAGAGATTGAAGGACTGATTTGCGAAATTTTAAAATCGTGAAGGGCATCTAAAAACAAATTGACTACACCCAATTTTGATATATAAATTAAAAAAATGTGTAGTTAGTTTTGAAAAAACAATAAACCAAGATGAAATTTAATGGAAAAAATAGGCATCTAGCATTTTCATTTTTTGTTTAGGTAAATATAGTTGAAAAGATTAATTTCATTTGGATGCAAATGAGAGTTACAAGAATGCTATTTTCATTGGAAATTATCGACTGCAAATTAAATATGTTTAGATAATTGATTAGTTAAAAAACAAGTCATACTCAATAAAATAGAATATGCATTATAAACCAACTTTAAAATCGACTGAATAAGTAATTTTCTGTTCGTAAAGATACTAGTACTATTCTATGACAAAATTGCACAAATGCACTCTTTCCATCGATAATAAATTTTCACGTTCACAACAATGTATATTATTCGTTTTTTGATTATTTATTAAAATGTCACTACATTTTTTAGGCTTTTAATCTTAAACCTGGTACTACTTACTCGTTTCGATTTTGCACGGGAATATGACTTTTTATTTAAACCAACATCTAGAGTCTATACACATATTAAACCAACATCCTGGAATCTAGTTCAAATCATACACTTTTGACTCTTAAAATGGGGATATGGAAAGGGAGGAATGAGGTTTTATGGAGAGGGGAGTTTTTCTCTGTTACAGGTGTGAAGCAGTCTGCCTTCTCTATGTTGGCAGGCTGGAGGGCTGTCCGTAAAGAGGCTAGTAACGGGAGAAAAAACCAAAGTGATGCAAAATGGCAGAAACCGGAAGCGGACTGATTTAAAGTCAACGTGGATGCCGCAAACAATGCTGGATCAGGCCTTTGGGCTTGGGGCTGTGTCGGAAGGGACTGTCGGGGCAACTTTCTATGTGCTAGGAGTTGGGTTAAAAAGGCTTTTTGGTCTCCCGTGGAAGCAAAGGCCATTGGCATTAGGGATGTGATTCTATGGGCTAAAGAGATGGGGTGGAATAAAGTAGTGATTGAGACTGATGCAACGTTGGTTGTGTTGGGTATACACGGGGAGCCAGTGGGTGTAGACTACATCGTGTAGTCTTTGACGACATAAATTTTTTAATGATTGAGAACAAGAACATCAAAGTTCGTTGGTGTAGGCGTTTAGCAATAGCAAATCAAGTAGTTCACACAGGAGAGTTGTTATTACGCCTAGTAGTCAAATTAGTTATTTAATTCCGCCAAGTTGTATAATAAATCATTTGGCAAATGATCATTTAATATAAATGTTGACCTTTTCCATAAAAAAAAAACCAGTTCAAATCACAGCCTCATGGATAATATTCAATATTATCTACATTCAGCTAACATCATTTTATCACAAAGACTGGTGGAAACAAATATGGCAACTTCCTTTTTAAATATTAGCACACTTGAGCCAAGACCAACTCTCTCTTCAGCCCTACTTCTCGGAAAAGTTACTCCAATATTGGTTTTAAGCTGATTTTTTAGTGATGAGCATATAGAACTTTCATGATCACATTATATAGGTATTAATTGGCTTTAACTCACGCTGCAGAATGGCTATCTAAAACTTAAGTCTACAGTATACTTAAACATATACGTAACTACGTAGTACATTATTACTCAACCCAAAATAGAAAATCTCAAACCCAACAAACATTAATGTGGCACACTCACAGATAACATATCCTCCTCTATTCAAACACAAACTGAATGATAGATAATACGGGCCCAACTGATCATAAATGAATGAGGTTCCAATACAAAGTAAATGGACTATAATCAACTCCAAAATAATTTTCAAAGATGAGATTTATGTGACACTTTATATACTTTAAAAAACTCAAATCTAATACTATCTAAGTATTTGATGTCGTGGATGGTTTGAAATAGTACTACAACTTGCTCAATGGTTTGAAATGGACCAGAAATCTTTCATCCTGCTCATTCCCAACTTCAGTCCTACAAGTATGTTTTTATATCATACTCGCCAAATTCATATGATACTATACATTTTTTTCTCAATGTGATCATTTTTTTTGTACATAGTTACTGCATTTCCCTGCAATACACATGTGAAGATACTAGTTTTCCTAAAAATCATTCATAAATAAAATGCATGAGAAGGAAGGACTGAAGGAGTAGTTGTTCATGTGATTTGACAAAAGTCATACCAAAAATTCATACTTCTATCCGTGTCCCAGCAAACTTAAACCTCCATTACTGGCCCCTCTTAAATATACCTGATGGATAGTCTACCCGGGGGTATCTTATCCGAGGGGTTATTGCGGGAATAACTAGAGAGAAGTCAGAGCGAAATAGGAGAGAGAGTCGATTCTATTAAATGAACTCAGCGTGTGAGAGTTGGATCTGGGATCGTTTACAAGGAGAAATAGGCTGCTATTTATAGCAGCATTAAATGCGATGAGAGTACACGTGTCAGTAATCCAGCAGCCGAGGGGTCACATCAATCGGGGTGGCACCGGTAGCGACATGTTCACCGCATTGAATGCGGTGGGTGGATGTGACGTCGCATTAAATGCGGTGGTTGGCTGTCTCCAAAGGGAATCTTCGATGATTGAGCTGTTTTAGCCGAAGGCTCCTCGTGGGGTCGAGGGCTTCGTCTTACCGAGAGCTTCGTGTAACAGAAGGCCTGTGTAGCCGAAGGCTTCCCTGATGTCGAGGGATCATACTGCCGAGGGCTCCCGTTTCTACCGTTTTTTTCCCTTGTGGCTTCGTATGCTCGAAACTGGCTCCCCTGCGTAATCTGGAGCCCTCGGCCAAGGGGGCTGAGGGCACCCCCAGTGTGTGTTCTGGGCTCCTTTGAGACTTGGGCCGCTGCATTTGGACCTGAGATGTTCCCTGGGCCCAACGGGCTTGTGTAGGAGAAGTAGGAGTCTGTGGGCCGGGGGTTCCCGGGCCATATACTCCATCAATACCAACTCTTAAATAAGTCTTGAGAATCAAACTACATGTCCCAAAAGCACGCAACTGCTGCATCTTGCACGAACGAGCCCAGAATGACACATCTCCTCTTCCCAAAAACAAATCCTATCCTTATTTGTATTTGCTCATGACAGGTCTGAATTGCTACATTCACCCAATCAATGACTGTCAAATACTTATAATTAGCACATCGTTTTTTTTTATAATTATGTTATGGAAAAATCACAAGCTCTTCAAATGGATGATGCATTTAACATGCACACCCCAACAACCACTTACTTGATTGATCAAAGGATTGCAAGATAAAATTATAATATATATAATAATATATACGGAGTAATAAACACCCACACCAGACAAATGTGAACCGGATGACCATTTTTCCATTAAAACCTCTGTATTAAAAATTATTTTTTATAAAATAGCTATCAAGATAATAATTATTTTTCTACTCTGTATAAATTTTAAAGCATAATTTGTTATGTATTCCGGCAGTGTCTTCGGATTTCCAAGAGTGAAATTGACACTCGTAACTTGTACCATTACACTCGTAAAAGCTCAGTATTTTACAGGGGTCGGCTGAATAATTGGCTATACAGTATATCTGCTGCATTGATCATGAACTGTTTTAATACTCCACTGATCAATTTCTTCTTCCACAAATTCCAAACTCTGCCTCATCACCCCTAACCATCCAAATTGAAGAACATTAGGGAAAACATAGGAGAGCCCATTAAGAAAGAAACTTTGTTACTGTCTTCTTAGAACATAAATGTTTGACAAAAGTGAAACAAAAATATTTTAATCACAATGGACTGGAATGAAGGAGACAAAAGTGGCCCACAACTCCACAAAAATTAAACCTACAGATAGGCAGTATCAAAGAGGAAAATCAAATTACAAAACAAAACAAAGAAAAAGAGTGGAAATATATAACCTGAAAGTGGTACTAACTAGTTTTATGTTATTTGAAAGGGGGGGAAATGCATGTGAACTAAGTAAGGGGTAACTACTCTGACCTGTTAACCCCCAAGTATTGTCAGAAGCTTTGCCTTATAGATTACAGCCACAACATAAGCCCAGTTAGCAAAATCATTGAGTACTTTGAAAAAAGCAAACCTGCAAGACCTGTTGAATAGCATTGTCCCAAGAACACTAAAAAATCCAACCACATATCCGACCCCCATGCTTGCATAAAACTCGCTGCCAAAAAACTTATTCAGGTCTTCTTTATTACAAGCACCTTCTTCTTCTTCTTCTTCTTCTTCTTCTTCTTCACAGAATCTAGGACGAGAAGGACGAGTTAATTCTTCTCCTTGACAACTGTTGGGGAGTGGATCTCCACATAGCCCGGGATTCCCCATATATGCACTTGCATTAAAGCTCTGAAGTTGAGTGCCTTTCGGGATTTTGCCTGATAAGTTATTGTTGGACAGATTTAGAACACTGATTCGGTGAACATGGACAAGGGTTTGAGGAATGCTACCCGACAAATGGTTATTAGAAAAATCAAGAGCCTCTAAGTTTGCCAAGTTACCAATCCTAAATGGAATATGTCCCCTTAAGTTGTTTCGTGATAAGTTCAAAGAACCTAACTCAACAAGTGATGTGATTTCAGTTGGAATCTCACCATTCAACATGTTGGATGAAATATCAATGCTCTTTAAGAATCCTAATATACTTCCAAATTCATAGATCATACCTTTCCATACAACATCTATTTTCTCATCTTGGCTGATGATTAGAGTTTCTGAATATTTTGGCCCAACCCAGTGCGCTGATATTTCATAAGAAATGGTGGCATTGCCAACTCCTATCATAGTCATTTTAGTAAGATTAGAAAGACAGTTGGGAAGACTCCCTGAGAGGTTGTTTGTGGACAAGTCCAACAGTTGAAGAGATTGGAGATGGCACAGACTTGTGGGTACACTTGCATTGAAGTAGTTGGATCTTAGCACAAGTATCGCAAGCTGTGGTAGCTTTTCACCCGCCCAATCTGGTATTGGACCAAAGAAGTTATTGTCTCCCAGTTGTAAGGATAACAATTTGGAGCAATTCTTGATGGACGAAGATAGAGGGCCAGTAAGACTGTTATGGTCAAGATGCAATGCCATTAGTGATGCCAATGATCCAATGGAAGTTGGAAGACTCCCTGATAGTTTGTGATTGTTTGCCAAGTTGAGAACTCGCAGACTATAGAGACCTGTCCAACAATCTGGAAGTGTTCCTGAAAGTTGATTAAATGACAAATCCAAAAGCTGCAAAGCAACAGCTACTCTAGCAGCCTTAATGTGACATAGGGAGTCGAGTTCAGTGAAGTGATTACGAGAGAGGTAGAGTGCTGTCACATTGAAGAAAGATGGTGGAATGGAACCTTCTAATTTATTGAAACTCAAATCTAGCACACCACCGTTGAATTGAAACCCCGATGATACTTGAAAGCCGCTTACCATTGTTCCCTTGATTTGGTTATTAGAAGCATTAATGTTCAAAAATTGAGTAGTTGTATTCCAAAACCAGGAGGGAATTGAATCAGAGATGGCATTATTGGAAATGTCTGTTAAAACTCGGGGTTCCATCCTAAAAGGTCAACCTGATAGGAGGAGTAGCCTGGATCTTAATATAGTGTTTAATCATTCCAAAGATATCCGGTGTGGGACATTTTAACACTCCTCCTCACGACCAGCCACTTCGTCTGGATCGGGTCATCATTCATATTTTTTTTCATCGGTCCGTTTTTTTTCATCCGGCCGTAATTGTCATTTTTTTTATAATCGTGTCATCACGATTCATAAGGGGGCTCCTACACCATGGATCGATTTGGCTCTGATACCATGTTAAGACCCGGGGTGTCATCCTAAAAGGTCAACCTGATAGGAGGAGTAGCTCATGTGTTAATATAGCACTTTGTTCATCCAAATCTTTCTGGTGTGGGATATTTAACAATGTCAAGCCACTTATAATTGACTTGAGTTCTAATCCAATTTGGAAACTCAGGGCCCAAGTTGCAAGACATAAGGTTTATCATTTCCAATCGGAATGGAGGAAGCCAGGCAGATGTGAGATTGAAAGTGAAATTGCTTGAAGATAAGTTCAGTGTGCGCAGTTTGGAGAGAGTAGCAAAGTGATGTTCAGAAATGACCCCATCTAGGAGGTTACCTCCAACAGATAATTCCACCATAGAGGGGAACATGGAAATGTTAGGAAACGAGCCTGTGAGTCGGTTGCTATCTAATTTTAATTCCCTCAGAGGGTGATTTGGGCATAATGTGGATATGACAAGGCTTCCATTAAGCCGGTTGGATTCCATGCGCAAGTGTTTGAGAGTGCATATGTTCCAGATGAATTTAGGGATTTCTCCTTCAAGTTTGTTATACCAAAGATGAAGCTCTTTAAGGGCAGGCATATTCCCTAGAGCTTCTGGAATGTGACCTTCCAACCGATTCATGTACAGGGAAAGTAAAGTCAAATGAACCATCTTTCCGAACGTTTCAGGAATGGTGCCTTCTAACCTATTATATCCGAGATCAAGGTATGTAAGGCCAGTCATATTTTCCCCGAAACTCTTTGGGATGAGACCTCCCAACAAGTTTTCACTAATGTCAAGCTGTGTGAGGAGAGCCATATTCCCTAAACCTCGAGGAATGGTGCCTTCTAATCTATTATTGCCAAGATTAAGGTGCCTAAGGCTAGTCATGTTTTCCCCGAAATTCTTTGGGATTTGACCTCTCAACAAGTTTCCACTAAGGTCAAGATGTGCAAGGAAAGCCATATTCCCTAGACCTTCAGGAATGGTGCCTTCTAACCTATTGTCTACAATAAAAAGGTCTGTAAGGGAAGGCATGATGTTTCCAATATTTTCAGGAATGGTGCCACCAATTCCAGTTCGAAAGAGTCCGAGATATTGAAGGGAAACCATACTACCGTTGTTCCCAAACAAAGATGAGATGCTCTGGTTCGCCAGCAAGTTGACGTTACCATTAAGATTCAAATACTTCAAATAGCGCAGCTCAACGAATGGAAGGCTGCTGGTAAACCTACCACCTTTCGCCAACAGATCCATGCCAAAAAGATCAATCTCGATGACATGACCCGTGAGATTATCACACCCAACTCCAGCCCAACCGCTGCAGCAATCTTCTCTGTGGTTGCCCCAAGAGCCCAGATTATCTTCCTCGTCAACAATGCTGCGCTTAAACTCCAGCAGCACTTCCCTTTCCCCGTCAATGCATTTACTGGCACCCACGCTCATCACCAGCACCCCCACTGCCATCAATAACAATACTACACCCATGCTTTATTACAGTTAGATGGAGAAATTCACCGTAGTGATAATATTATTCATCAAGCCTATTAATAGGCTGCGTACAACAAGAGTCCCTAGTGAATACAAATCCTATCTACCACTACGTATGAGATAAAAGTAGTCTAGATACATTATTTGTTAGAGCTATACTAGGCTACGTATGCGGGAGCTATAAGTTGGATATGCATGGCTATTATGTACGTATTATGTACGTATTATGTACGTAAATGTACATTAGAAATATAATGTTACATTAATTAATTATATCGGCTAACACGCCCCCGCAGTCGAAACGGGAGAAGCACAGACGTTGAGACTGGATCTAAATTCATCAAATAATATTCGTGGAAGTCCTTTAGTAAAAATATCCGCAAACTGGCGACGAGAGGGGATATGAAGGACCCGAACTTCTCCCCGAGCAACCTTTTCCCGTACAAAATGAATATCCATTTCAATATGTTTGGTGCGCTGATGGTGTACCGGATTGCCGGTCATATACACAGAACTAATATTGTCACAATATACAAGTGTTGCCTTGGGAAGCGGAGAACGTAGCTCAAGTAATAGATTTCGAAGCCAGCATGTTTCGGCCACGACATTAGCTACACCACGATACTCGGCTTCGGCACTGGAACGGGATAGAGTAGGTTGCCGTTTAGATGACCAAGAAATGAGATTATCACCCAAGAAAACGCAGTAACCCGAAGTAGAGCGCCGCGTGTCGGGACACCCACCCCAATCGGCATCAGTATAGGAGACTAGGTCAGTGAGAGATGAAGGACCGAGGTGAAGGCCAAAATGGATAGTGCCTTGAATATACCGAAGTACCCGTTTTAATGCCAGAAAATGTGAATCCCGTGGATCATGCATAAATAAACAGAGTTGTTGGACTGCATAAGATATGTCGGGCCGTGTGAAGTTGAGATATTGCAGTGCCCCAGCTAAACTGCGGTAGAGAGTAGAGTCCGCAACAGGAGGTCCATCAGAAGCACTAAGTTTGGAGTGTGTGTCAACTGGGGTGCTGACGGGTTTACAATCTGCCATGCCGGCACGACGTAGGATGTCACGAGCATAGGTGGACTGGGATAAGAATAGCCCTGAAGAGAGCCGTGCAACTGAAATTCCCAGAAAATAAGACAATGGACCAAGATCGGTCATTGAGAACTCGGCGGCCAGTTGAGAGATAATATACTGGCGGAATCGGGCAGAAGAAGCCGTAAGTATAATGTCATCCACGTAGAGGAGAACGTAAGCTGTGTGGCGGCCTTGATGATAAATGAAGAGCGAATGATCACAAGCACTATGTGAAAATCCGAGCTTGGCAAGGTGAGAAGCAAACCGGTGATACCACGCCCGAGGGGCTTGCTTGAGGCCATATAATGATTTTAAGAGTCGGCAAACATGATTAGGACGGGAGCGGTCACGGTAACCCGGCGGTTGGTACATATACACAGTCTCTTCTAACCGGCCGTGGAGAAATGCATTTTTGACGTCGAGTTGGTGGAGTGGCCACGATTTAGAAAGGGCAATGCTGAGGACGAGACGAATAGTGGCCGGTTTAACAACCGGACTGAAGGTTTCATCACAGTCGATGCCGACCTGTTGAGATTTACCATTGACTACGAGCCGAGCTTTATGACGTTCCAAGACACCGTCAGACCTGTATTTATGTTTAAAAAGCCACATGCAACGAATAATATTGGCGTTAGGGGGGCGGGGAACCAACTCCCACGTCTCATTCTTAATTAAAGCACTAAACTCATTATCCATGGCGGCTTTCCAATTAGGGTCCTGGAGGGCCAGGATTGGGGATCGAGGTAAAGGTGACGGGGTAGATGAAACAGCCAACGTAAATATTTGTTTGGGTTTGTGAATCCCAGCACGACTTCTAGTCTGCATGGGATGGGAAGAAGTCGTAGGAGCTGGTGGGTTGCATGAGTCATGCATGGTACGCGGCTGATTATGAATAGGCGGTGGAGGAGAGTTAATAGGTGGCTGGATAAGATTAGAATTGGGAGGGGAGGAATTAAATATAGTGGCCGAATGTGATGGGGAGGGATGGTGAGTAGGATGTGGCTGGTGGGTTGAGGAGATATTATTGGTGAGGGATTCGGTGTTGACCGAAGTAGAAGGTGGGGCGGAGAGAATAGGCAGTAGACGTAGCATATGATTTTGGTCATCCAGAAAATCGTAGGTAGTGCTTTGTGAGTGTGTAGGGGTTTTAAAAGGAAAAACATTTTCATCAAATGTTACATGACGAGAAATGATTATCTGATGAGTGCGAATATCAAGGCATTTGTAACCTTTATGGTGGAGAGGATACCCGAGAAATACACACGGCGTAGTGCGGGCTTGAAGTTTGTGAATGGTATGGGACGGGAGGTGGGGAAAACAAAGGCAACCAAATATTCTAAGGTGGTCATATGTAGGTGTTTGGCGATACAGGAGGTGCGTGGGGGAAAGATAATTGAGAGGCTTGCTGGGAAGTATATTATGGAGATAAGCAGCCATATGGATAGCGTGAGGCCAGAAGTGGGCAGGGACAGAGGCGTGAAGCAATATAGTTCGTGCTATATTATTTATAGTCCGTATATAACGTTCAGCCGAGCCATTTTGAGGAGAAGTGTAAGGGCAAGAGAAACGAAAGTGAAGGCCGTGTTTTTGGCCATAAGTACGAAATGCAGAATTATCAAATTCTTTCCCATTATCGCATTGAAAAATTTTAATGTTACGTTCGAATTGTGTTTGAACATAAACATGAAAATTAACAAATGTAGCGAAGGTTTGAGATTTTGACGTTAAAGGAAATACCCAAACAAATTTAGTGTAATCATCAACACAAATTAAATAATAACGATGACCATTAGAACTAAGAACAGGAGATGTCCATAAATCACTGTGTATTATTTCAAATGGGTAATGAGTAACTGAAATAGAAGAAGAGAATGGCAGTTTCGTATGCTTACCAAGAGCACATGAATTACATATGGATTTATTTAAATGAGTACATGGAATGGTATTATTTGTTCTAAGGAAACTAAAAACGGGATCCCCGGGATGACCCAGCCGATGATGCCAAGTAGCAGCCGAGGTGAGAAAGGTAGCATGAGAAAATCTGGAAAATGTAGGAGGAAGAGGGTAGAGTTCACCCGTACTGTTACATCTCATGAGTTGTTGGCCCGTGCGGAGATCCTTCACAGAAAAACCAACAGGGTCAAATTCAACAGACACAGAGTTATCAGTAGAAAAACGGCGAACAGAAATAAGTTTTTAATGAGGGACGGGGCATGAAGGACATTTTTTAGTTGAAGAGGGGGGTGAGGAGGGGGTAGGGTAGTTTGACCGAGACCCGAAATGGGTATGGTATTGCCATTGCCAACCATAATAAATTGTTTAATACCTAATTGAGAAAGAGAGGTGAGAGTACCTGAATCGGACGTCATGTGAGACGTAGCTCCGGTGTCCATATACCAATTATTATCGGGAGGTGTGAGAGTCATAGTATGCATGGCGGCATTGATATCCGTGAGAGGAGGGGCTGGACCCGAGATGTGTGCTTGAGGTCGAGCGCCAAGGATGCCAGCTCCAGGAGTAGGGCGAGGTGAAGATGAAACAGCCCACGGTGCGGACGGATAGGGGCAGGGTGGTACAGCCCATGGCGATGGCGGCAACCAGTAAGCCCATGGTGGTGGGGACGTCCAAGCATTGGGAGGAGTATCAGGCCGAGGTGTCCCACGTCCGCCACGACCGCGCCGGGCAGAAGAAGTGCCACGGCCGCCGCGGGGGGGTGGAGTCGGACGAGGAGGAGTAGGCTGGGACGGCGAGCTATGTAGAAGGGCACTGGCCGAGGAGGCGCCGAGTTGATGCGCCTTGCGGGTCTCATCCAGGAGGATCATGGAGCGCGCAGTTTGGAAGGAGGGAAGCGGTGTGGCCTGCTGGATGAGTGATGCCACTGTGTCGTACTGAGGGGTAAGGCCGTTGACTAAGCGAAGAACAAGCCGGCTGGGGGAGACCTCGGAACCGACATTTTGCAATTGATTTGCCAAAGTTTTGAGAGCGCGACAATACGCGGCGACATTTGGAAAATTTTCCAAACGAGTGTTGGAAAACAAATTCTCTAAATGTACAGCACGCGAGTGTTTATTGTCGAGAAAAATGTCGGTGAGGCGATCCCATGCCTCCTGAGCCGTAGCATCGGGTTCAATAATGGTGTGGAGCAGGTCATGAGAGATTGTACCGTAGATCCACTGAAGAACCACGGCGTCCAACCGGGTCCATAGGGCGGCTGCTTCGGCCTTGGCGGCAGCCTGGGCGAGAATCCCTTCGGGAGTAGAATCAGCAGAAGTTGACGTAGAGGCGGTGGCGTCGGCAGAATCCTTGGAGGGGATGATATGATCGAGAACTTGATATGCACGAGCGGTAATTTTGAACAATTCCGCCCATGAGGAGTATTCAACGTTCTCGAGATCTAAAGTAATTGGGATGAAATTTTTTATGTTTGATATAGCTAGAGCAGGATGAAAAGCGGAAGATTTGGTGGTAGCCATTAGAGAAGAAGACTACTGATACCAAGTTAGATGGAGAAATTCACCGTAGTGATAATATTATTCATCAAGCCTATTAATAGGCTGCGTACAACAAGAGTCCCTAGTGAATACAAATCCTATCTACCACTACGTATGAGATAAAAGTAGTCTAGATACATTATTTGTTAGAGCTATACTAGGCTACGTATGCGGGAGCTATAAGTTGGATATGCATGGCTATTATGTACGTATTATGTACGTATTATGTACGTAAATGTACATTAGAAATATAATGTTACATTAATTAATTATATCGGCTAACAATTACCTTGTTAAAGTATGTTCCTCTCACCCAATCATCTCCTCTTGTGCTGCTCTGGTTCCATAGATATAATACGAGCCCACCGCTAAAGTCAAGTCGTTCTCAAATGTGAGAGCAGTGCAAGTATATGACCACCGACCGCTTCCTGCTCACTCGCACACTCGTACGTATATCTTCACCTTCTACTACGTGTCTCCAATCCATGGTAAGAAGACGATTGACCAAACCATTGCCATTATTTTCGAGTGACCGTTGGAGACCGTACACGTACTACGATGCAATCATTCACACCCCACGCCGCTTTTAAAGAGTGTTCTCACGATTCTGATATCAGCCAAACTAATGAAGCGAAGACCATAAGAATCAAATAATTTATATGCTCGGTTGAGCATTCAAATACAAATACAAATAAGAATATTAAAATTGATTCGAATTATTATCAAACTAGTATCGTTACCCGTGCCGTGCACGGGATAAAATGATTTTTTTTAGTTTTACTATATAGCCTTGAATATGGATTATACGCATGCTGATGTATGTATATGGGTTATTATAGCTAATGGCAAATCGTGTGTATAATATTATAACATGAGTTGATAACATATATTTTCATTTATTGAGAACGTCTTATTTTAAACTAATTATTTAAACATATCCTTCGTAGTGTATGTCCTTAAAAATGATTATGTAGGTATTTAATACGTAGTATACCATAAATGAGAAAAAAATATTGTACGGAGTATTATGAAACAACATATGAACTCTTGTGTAGTAACATGAATCATTAAAAATAGTTTTAATCTTATGTGACTTTTTCTATGTTACTACGCAATTATTTACAAAGTTCCATACGATTCTTTTTTTCGCCCCTATCAAAATGTGAAACTTGTAGGGATTTAATTCATTCTTTATACGTGCTTTAGAAAATGTTGAAATTTACAATATTAACATTTTTATACTCTTTATTTATTAACGTATTAATAAATTATTTTAAAAAAATAATACTACCCCCGGTCCCAAATAGACTTCACACTTTTTAGCATGTCCGAAATAAACTCCAGTTTTCTTTTTTAAATAATTTTGAATATAAAGTTATCTTTATACTACCCGTACTTTATTACCCACTTGAAATGTGAAAAAAATGATTGTTACACTTATTTAAGAATGGAGGAAGTATTTTTTGAGATCGTGCACTTTGAGTTACAATTATGTACTACCTTCGTCCCACTTGTTTAGTCATCTCTTAAAATTTGAAACATAATTTTGATTAGAATAATATTTTGGAAATCATAAATTTTATACTTTTATAAAAATACTTTTAACAGAAAACGTTTTAATATAATTTTTATATTTTTAAAAATGATGTTTGGTGGTTCCAAGGTTCTAATTTTCCAGGATCTCTTAAGTTTCTTGACATTCAAAAAATTGAAGGTTTAACTTTTAGCAATTACGAGTATAATCTACCTATGAAGAATTGATGAGAAAATTGCTCCGTATAGGATCGATTCATACCAGTTTTACAAAAAGAGGACCTAGAATTGTTTTTCCCATACGTGCCACTTATTTTGTTCTATTTTAGTAAACTTGGTTTTGAATTCCCTCTTTTACCCTTTTTTATATTTATTAAATTTCCCCCAAATTAAAGATGACATGCCCGCTTACGATTAGAAGCTTCACGCTCCATCGTGCTTCCCCCCATCTAATCTCCTTGCTCAAGCTCAGACATGGTCAGTCCATGGTTCTAATCTCCATCGGAGCTTCAGGGAAGACTTCACAGTTGTCTTCATTAGAGACTCTCCAGCTCATATCTGCTTTGTCGATAGGTTCCTCCTCCATCTCTGCCGTCCAGCTATTCCTCCATCTTCGCCGCCCAATCCTTCCTTCACTCCGACTACCTCTGTTCGCTGGTTCTATCTCCAGCAGCGGCTCCTTTTTTCTCCGATTAACAGTCGCCACTTCAAAGGGATATGAGGTAATTGATTCATTATCTTCTTCTTTTTCTTCTCTTCTTCATTTTTCTTTTTCTCCTCTTACGTCTCATCTCCTTGTGCTCTGTTTTCTTCCTTTTGTTTTTAGATCCTTCTCATCACTTAATTTGTTTAACTTTCCAAATTCTAAATTGAAGAATTACTTATTGTCTGTTTAATGACTACTTATTGTCTGTGTATTGTCTGCCATTGAGCTATTGTTAGAACTTATTGTCTGTTTAATGACTACTTATTGTCTATGTATTGTCTAGTGTTTGCAAGTTTGATTTTGGATCTGGTTTCTTCAAAAGGTTTGCAGAGTACCTGGTGGCCTTGTTAAAATGTGATATACAAGTTCGAAATTGGCAAAATCAATGTCCAAAATCAGAAAAGAAGAAGAAGAAAAAGAAGAAGAAGAGGAGGAGGAGGAGGGGGGGGGGGGGAGGAGGAGGAGGGAGAAAGAAGAAAAAACTCTGGTGGCGGCGTGCGGTGGAGCTGGTGCGTCGGTGACGGTGAAGTCGATCAGCGGCGGCGAGCCCAGTCGATCAATCTGAAATCGAGTTTGTGCACATACATGCCGCAGGGGAATGGGTCTGAAGTGTGAGTAGGGCATCCATCGATGGAGTTTGTTTGTGCGCAGGGGATTTAAAAGGAAGGACAATTTGGTCAAAGCAGGTGTACTTAAGTCTTAGACTAATCTATAGTCTTAATTTTGGAAATCTAGTATGATTAGGTTCTATTTGTTGAAATCTCCCAGAATTGATTACATAGTATGGCAGGTGGAGCTTTAGGTTTATATCAATTCCATTTTTTTTTTGGGAATGGTACAGTTTCTTCCTTTCTAAATTTAAGTGTAATATATTGAATTTTACAATATTAACATAATTTTACTTTGATTTAGCTCTATTTATTAATAAATCATTTTTAAAAAAATACGACCTCCAGTTCTGAATAAACTAAACACTTTACTTTTTGGGCAAGTCCAAAATATATTTTACACTTCTATTTTTAATAATTTTTTAATATAAAGTTACCTTTATACTACCCTTACATCATTACCCACTTCAAATGTGAAAAATTGATTGTTGCACATGTTTTTTTATTATACCGTTGCACGTATTTATAAAGTTACCCTTACTTTCTATTTTCTACCCTTATACTACCCTTATTTTATTACTCACTTCCATTCTTAAATATGTAGTAATTATTACCATTGCACTTCAAATATAAAGTTACTCTTATATTACTCTTACTTTATAACCAACTTCAATGGTGAAAAATTGAATGTTACACTTATTTAAGAAGAAAAGGAATTTTTATTTTCAGAACGCAATTGAGAAGATATTTTACTAATAAATTTTGCATGTATAGTTGTGTAGTTGATATGTTTGAGTGCAATTGGGAAGTTTTGGAGAAGCCTTCCCAATTGCAATTGAGCCCGTTTGGTGACTTTGTTTTTGACTTATAAGACTTATCAGTTAGCTTTTTCACCAAATACATAAATTTTGACTTCGCGCGCTTAATTGTGTAATAATAAGAAAATGTAAGGTTGAAGTTACTTTTCTGGCTCTATTGGCCGAAATTATTGTAGAGAATCATTTTAACTATTTTCATATAATTTTTTCTTTATTGTATGGATAAATTTTTTATTTTTTCACAAATCAGCAGAATCAGCCAATCCAAACACTTCAGCCAGAACTTCATAAATTTTAGTAGAATCAATTGATTCAACCAATTTCAGTGTTACCAAACAGACATTAAACTAATAAACATAATTGATGTAAATTGAAGTCGCTATAATAAAAACATTTTGACTTTCTTACGAAAGTTTGAATGCAATTTATAAAGTTTATATTACCTCCGTCCCTAAATGTTCTTCCAAAATAAAGTGGCACGCTGATTAAGAAAGTGGGAATTGTGTGGTGGAGAGTTGTGCAGAGGAGAGAGAAATGATGTGAACCACAAATTCTTTGCTAAAAAGGGAAAGTGAAGTTCTTTTTGGGACGGACGAAATGGGAAAGTTGGAAGTTCTTTTAGGGACGGAGGGAGTAAATATTACTCCCTCCGTCCCTAATAACTTTGCCAAATTTGACCGGCACGTGGATTAATAAAGTAAAAACTGTGTGGTTGAGGTTTGTGCAGAGGAGAGATAATTAACTAAAACCACAAATTCTTTACTTAAATGGGAAAGTGGCAAAGTTAATGGGACATCCAAAAAAGGAAAGTTGGCAAAGTTATAAGGGACGGAGGGAGTAGTTGGCATTTAGAACGATTTAAATGAATTGTGACTTTTAAGGATTTCTAATCAAACATGGAGTTTTAGTTTTTAGCAATTCTATTTGTAACTAGTATTATACCCGTGCATCGCACGGGATATTTATTTTCTTTTAATATATTGATTTTAAATAAATTTAAAAGTAGATGATGACACACTAAAGTTTTAACGTAAAAGAATATAAGAATTCTTTTTTTAAGAATTCTTTTGTTGCACCTGTACTCATAGGTAAATTATACCGTACACCCGGTTGTAGAGTTCTCACCTTACAACCGGGTATTTTTGCAATTAATTCCAACTTTAATGGTAAAGGTGTTTCCTGTTTCCTGCTCGTTGATGCCCTGGGATCGCTGAAGGAGACGCAGACGCCGATCGAGATGCCCGCTCGCTGAAGTCCAGGTGCTTGACTGTTGCTCGCTCGTTGCGCCAATGGAGGAAATTTTTGCTCCGCATTTATATCAATTCTGTTTTTTTTGGAAATGGTACAGTTTCTTCCTT